AAAAAAAGAGTTTAAAACTCATCTGAGGGCTGGAGAGATGGCTCAGAGGTTAAGAGCATTGCCTGCTCTTCCAAAGGTCCTGAGTTCAATTCCCAGCAACCACATGGTGGCTCACAACCATCTGTAATGAGGTCTGGTGCCCTCTTCTGGCCTGCAGGCATACACACAGACAAAATATTGTATACATACTAAATAAATAAATATTAAAAAAAAAACTCATCTGAGCTGGGTAGTGGTGGCGCATGACTTTAATCCCAGCACATGGGAGGTAGAGGCAGGTAGATTTCTGTGAGTTTGAGGCCAGCTTGGTCTACAAGAGCCAGTCCCAGGACAAGTGCCAAAGTTACAGCAAAATCCTGTCTCGAAAAACAAAAACAACAACAAAAAAACTCATCTGAAATGTTTCTGTAACTCCTCTGAAACAGACTTTCAATTAGCTGTATTAGGCAGGTGTGGCGGTACACACCAGCGATCCCAGCACTTGGAGGAGGATTGTGAGTCCTAGACTAACTCTGTATATAGCAAGAACATGTCTGAATAAAGAATTAATTAATAAACCTGTGTGCAGTGGCTCACACTAGAAATCCCAGCACTAAAAAAGCTGGGGCAGGAGAATTGCCACAAGTCTGAAAGCATTCTAGGCTACATACTGAGTTCCAGGCCAGCCTGGGGATCTTGAATAAGACCCTATCTCAAAACAAACAAAACAAAAGCTAGGTTTGGTGGCAGAGGTGTCATCCCAGTTACTTGGAAGAGTACAGAAAGGGAGAACACATCTAAGGCCTGGCTAAATAACAAGACCTTCCTGGGCAACCTAGGAGACCTCATATCAAAATGAAACTAGAAGCCGGGCGATGGTGGCGCACACCTTTAATCCCAGCACTCGGGAGGCAGAGGCAGGCGGATCTCTGTGAGTTCGAGACCAGCATGGTCTACAGAGCTAGTTCCAGAACAGGCTCCAAAGCCACAGAGAAACCCTGTCNAAAAAAAAAAAAAAAAGAAAAAAAAGAACTAGAACAGAGATGTAGCTCAGTAGTAGACCACTCACCTAGCCTACGAGGTTTAATCCTCAGGGTTCTATACACATTAAAAACAACAACAACAAAAAACTATGTATAATCTATTCTAAAAAATAAATGAACTCCCCAGCACTAGGGAGGCAGAGGCAGGCGGATCTCTGTGAGTTCGAGACCAGCCTGGTCTACAGAGCTAGCTCCAGGACAGGCTCCAAAGCCGCAGAGAAACCCTGCCTCGAAAAACAAAAAACAAAAACAAAAAAAAATGAACTCTACAATGCTTGAAGAATTTTCCTTCCCAATTAATAATACATGTAGAATGTTCCAAACTGAGAAGAAAAACAAAACTTTACCTAATGGGGCTCTCCGAATCAGAGGGTATTGTTATTAATTCCGCTGTGTACAAGCTGTGCTTTTCTGACATGCTGGCTTTTGGAGTGGAAGCCTTCACTGGACTAGTGTCCTGGCCATCCTCAGACTTAGTATCTCTAAGAGTGACTACAGTAGGCATGCAGCTACCTCTTAGAGAGCTACTGGTTCGTTTGGGTGTGGAAACGTTCAGCAGCCTGTTTTCAGGCTCAGCTTCGGAATGTGTAACCATATCCTGGATTGATGTACTGGGTTTTCTTGATTTATTTCTGTCACCCAGAGACATTTTTAGAGAGTTATGTGCTGTATCCTCACAAACAAGACTTTCACTATTAAGTAATGAATTGCTTTTGAAAACTTCTGACTTCTGTCTTAAACTCCTTCGAAGGCTATTTTGCTTTTGTTTATCTTTTGGGGAAAAGGATGTTTCTTCCTTTTGCATGCTGTCTGTTCTGTTTCCACCTGGAGTGGGCCTAGTGCCGATCGTTTTCTTACCCCTTTTCTTCAGTTTTTTACTTTTCTCCTTAGGAAAACTTGCTTTATCAGTGTGTGTCTGTGAACTGCCAGGATTTGAAACTATTTGGATATTAGGATTTTCTATGATTTTTTCAGAACCATTATCACATTCTTCATTTGCAGATTTTTCACTTGGATCTTTCTGCTTCTCCAAAGGTTTCTTGAACCCATTTCTGAGCATTTCTGATGGTGGCTGCCTGAATGCTCTCATGAACTGTTGTCTCTCTTCCACGCTACACTTTGGTACTGAAGCCTCAGAGCTCCCAGCTTCCAGCACAGCCAGTTCTAATTGGCCCTCCTGGATCACAACATTTGATTTCCTTTTCTGAACTGTCTGTTCATTTTCTGGATCAGAGAGGCTACTCTCCAGATCAAGCTGTTTCTGTTTCAAAAAAATTTGGGCTATTTTCCCTTTCTTTTTGGGGGGAGTGGGGTGAACTTGTGCAAGAACAGTAACTGTCTTAAGGTGTATCCGTGGAGAAAATTCACAACTTTCTGATTCACCTTCAGAACTACTTTTGACTGCTTCACCAGATCCAGAAGGAACACAAGCTGGCACTGCAGGGTCAGGTATCTCTTCCACTCTAGCTGCCTTTTGACTTTTTAAAAATTCCTCATAGGAGACTGTTATTGTAGTCTTGTTTAAATCCGTCGTTTTGGTTGCACAAGCTCTGGAGTCTACATGATTTGCTGTCCTCTCATTTTCAATGGCCAAGGAAGGTTTACTCTCTTTGCCACCTTTCTTAAGCAGATTTATGTCGTCTGCCAAGGGTAAACTTTCAGACAGATCTAGTACCTTGCTGTGCTTCCTTTTTCTCAACATTTTGCCATCATTTTTTGTGGTACCTTTTTTAGGGTTGACTTTCTGGAAATTTTTTTTGGAGGTTATTGTATTTGGTTGATTTCTCCTGTCTTGAATGCTTTCTGCAAGAACCTCTACATCTTTCTTATAAAGGAAAATATCAGTACTGCTTTCCACAAAATCACTCAAACCACAGTCCTTCTTACTATCACTACTAATTCCAACCAGCGATTGAATTTTAATATCATTCAGTTGATGAGATAAATTAACTCTCTTTCCTTTCTTCTTAAATTCCGTATTTGAGAGCACTTCCAAAGGTGTCTTATGGTCTTTGCTATTGCCAACAAGCAATAAGGGGGATGGCTTTATTGTGCACTCCTTTGTCAACTGTAGCTTATCATCTGTGGGTGAAGTCTTTCTAAAATAATGAAGAATATTACTGGGTTTTGGTGGAGAAAAAACTTTGTCTCCAGTCTTCTCTTTTGGTGATAAATATTTGGTGATTGTTTCACAGGAAGAGCTGTCATCATCTTTTCTCCGCTTTTTGCAAGGCTAGCAATTTAAAAAAAGGAAAAACACATTCATTTCAAGTAAAATAATATGAAATATGAACTGTAAACAGATTTAACAGTTTAAATAACTGGGCAGAAAAACTACAAAAGGCTGCTTTATTTGTGTATATACATGTGAGGTATGTGTGATGTACACACATATGTGTATACAAGGATGCATGCAGAGGCTGGAGAAAGATGTCAGGTGTCCTACTCTGTCACTTTCAGCCTTACAATCCTCCTTTCTTGCTTCCCCCTAATACTGGAGTTATAGGCCTATATGGCCATACCTGACTTGCTGAAGATTTGAACTTAGGTCATCTGTAATTTCACTTGTGCAATAACAGTTATGATAGCTCCCCATTACCATGCATTTTCATGTAATGTGTATATGTAATCTCATGATTGCATCTCAATCTTATGGGCACATATATCTGTGGGTGGTCAGGAAGATGACTTTTCATTTGGCTGTATAATTTTGATATATAGCATATATTAGGACATGCTTCATAACTCGATCTATTTGTCCCATGAGGACTATAGACATTTAAAAGCCTGCTTTGTTCTTTTGCTTAGACTAACTGCATACAATTAGCTCACTTTCAATTCAAAGCAAGTTCAAACTAGACTAAAGGCTTTTTGTAAATAGATCATAACTTTAAAACCTTACAACTATGCTCAAGGTCAGAGTCACAATGCCCAACCATGGTTACTACACAAAGCACCCTAAGAAAAGCATGCCAATTCTTCACTTGCCGATCTGCTAACAAAAGACCTATGTCTCAAAGTTTGTCAATGGGCACTGTGCCTCCCTGTCTGTCTAGTTACAGTTTTACTCCTGAAACCCTTATGTTGCCATGGCAATGACTCAACTCCTAATCACTTACCCTAGGGATGTGCTTTTGGCCAAGGAGAGGTAACTCCTGTAATTTTTTTTATCTCTTCAAGGCTCCTATAAGAAGAGTTTTGAGGCTAGAGGAAAGAAACTAAAAGAAGAAGCTAGGAGGAATTCAAAGTAAGACAGAAAAATTGGAGTAGAAGCAAAACAATAAAGAAACTGAGTCGGAAAAGCATGGCACATTCATCCTCAGCTATCCCTTGCTGTTTCCTCTCTGAACCTTGAGAGGGTCTTGGGGCTGGCCCTCGAAGGCTCTTATTACACAGGATAGGACCCCTACAAACAATCCATTCTGCTTTACTCTCTGGTAAAAATAAACACATCAGGCTGGAGAGATGGCTTAGCGGTTAAGAGCACTGGCTGCTCTTCCAAAGTCCTGAGTTCAATTCCCAGCAGCCACATGGTGGGTCACAACCATCAGTAACAAGATATGGTACCCTCTTCCAGCCTGCAGGCTTACATGCAAGCAGAACACTGTATACATAAGAAATAAATCTAAAAATAAAAAAACAAAACATCATTCCAAGTAGCTCTAAGAAATATTTATTTAAGAAACCCAGGACCACCAAAAAACACTTGCCACAAGTCTACTGTTTTAATTTTCTACTATAAGTCACTGCCTGCAGTAGCCATTACCCTCACACAATCAAGATGCTATGACACTAAGGACAGTCAAGTTTGTGTTAGCCACTTGTAGTCAGCAGTGATACTTGCACCCAGGCAAGCTAAACAGAGATTACAATGAGTCCAGGTATAGCTGATGAAGACTAGACAAAGCACTGGCTGCTAGGAAGAGACAAAAGGCTCAAGGTAGGCAACCACGAACGAGATGATACTATCAAGGAAAACATAATTTTCATTGTCATAACTAGGGCTGGGGAGAATAACTGCCTAGGCATACAGAAAACCCTAGATTTGGTTCCCACCATTAGGTAAAACCAAGCATGGTGGCACGTGCCCGCAATCACAGCACTGAGGAGATAGAGGCAGGAGCATCAGAAGCTCATGTGAATTTAGTGAGTTTGAAGACAGTCAAGGCTACATGAGACACTGTTTGGAAAAAAAAAATCAATGTCATAATTGGAAAAAATAATCAACTTCTAAAAGTAGACTCTACTTGAACATGGATTGACATAGATTTAACACTGCTCTCTATATCCTTAGAGCAAACAGATTTTTGATGCATCTTGGGTATGACTGAGACTCATCTGGCTGCTGGCTCATTAACAATAATGGTCCCATTACTAGCTGTACATGTATCTTCTAAAGGTTTCATTGGTTTAACTTAGAGTACAGGGGATATGAATTGTGAAACCTATTAGGGAGCAAGGGGAAAGCTAACTGGTCTGATTTTCTATGATCTATATTTGTTTTCTTGACTATGTGTGAATGGTATGAAACAACCTTGCTACTAGAGCAAGGAAATACCTTACTGTTCTGAATTTACTAGATAAGAATGACTAAGCCTATCTTTAGAAGGACATTATTTCTCATTTTGTTTCCATGTGTATTGTAGGCGTTAACTATAAACAAGAGCTGGATATGGTGACTCATACCTATAGTTCCAGTACCTTGGAAGCTGAGGCAGGAGGACTACAGTAAACAGAAAAGCCTCCAAGGTTGCACACTGTTCAGGCCAGCCTGGGCTACAGGATGAGAACTCAAAGAAACAAGTCTAAATAACACAAAGCACTTATAAAGACCCTTAAACCTGCACTAGAAATCCACTAAATTAAAAAGATACATTGTGGTGGATTGAATAAGAATGACCCTCAGGCTCATATATTTGAATTCTTTGAAGAAAGTGTGTCAGCCTTGAGATTTCAAAAGCCCATGCCAGGCCCAGTCTCTTTCTCTCTTGACCTGCAGATCAGGATGTAGCTCTCAGTTACTGCTCCAAGCACCAGGAGAATTGCTATGCTCCCTGCCATGACAATGGACTAAACCTCTGAAACTGTAAACAATACCCAATGAAATGTTTTCTTTTTTAAGTTGCCTTGGTCACAGTGTCTCTTTACACAACAAGAAAACAGTGACTATGACATATGTATATAAAAGCAAAATGATGAAAATGAGTTTATAAATATATCACTAACTTGCATAACTGAAAATGCATACTACTATATTGGTTACAAAATAATTATTGACTGGGCATGGCCACATATGCCTTTAATCCCAGCATTCAGGAGACAGAGAAAGGCAGATGTCTCTGAAATTGAGGCCAGCCTAGTCTATATAAGGCTGTCTCAAAAACAAACAAATAACTCCATTAGTTTCCATACACATCCCATTCACTCCCTGTGGTACAAGCACTCCGCCAATTGAGCTACTGTTTCAGCCCTCAACATTTTGTCTTTTGCTTCACTGAACCCCAAGTCTTACAATATTAAAAATTTACCACTGAGCTATATTACTATCCTACTATCAATCTAACTTCTCAGTTTATTTGATAAAATATCCGCCAAAATAACAAAAACATTATTTTTAAGGACAAGTAACGAGGATTTTATTTTGAGAAAATTCAAATGAATTAACAAAGCTACCATGGTTAAAAGCATAGTATGATGCTGCACGAGTAGGCAAGAAGCTCAATGAAGTGTGTCTGAAAAGCAGAACCAGACAAGGGGACCCTTGACACCGCTCAGCAGGCAAAGGTAGGTGCCACCCAAGCCCGATGACCTTGTTCAATTCCCAGGATGAAAAAAAAGGGAGGTCCTCTTCCCACAAGTTGCCCTCTGACCTTCACACATATGCTGACCCTTACATATACAATAAATTTAAAAATGTAGCAAATAATTTTTTAAAAGAACTTGTTAAGTGGTAAATGTAACATTCAAATTAACATGCAAAAGAGTAAGAGGTGACAGTGGGACAAATTCTGGCCAGTTAGATAAATGACATAAAATACAAGCAATACTATATATGTTGAAATAACAAATGAAAAAGATCTATTATTATTTTCTATAAAGTTTTGACATGGTGTCAGAGGCATCACACAACAGACACTCAAGTCAGATCTAAGATCAAGTACCAGCTCTGACATCTACTAGTATGGAAATCTTAAGCAAATTACTTTTTTAAAACTGTGACTTAAGCTGGGCAGTGGTGGCACATGTCTTTAATCCCAGCACTTGGGAGGCAGAAGTAGGTGTACCTCTGTGAGTTTGAGGCCAGCCTGGTCTACAAACTGAGTTCCAGGACAGCCAGGGCTGTTACAGAGAAACCCTGTCTCAAAACCACTACCCGCCCCCCACAAAATCCTGTATCAAACAAACAAAACTAATTTGGCCTACTTTTCAATTATTTTATTTTGTTTTTGAAACAGTGTCTCTCTACATAGCCCTGGTTGTCCTAGAACTTGATATACAGACCAGGCTTGCCTCAGACTCACAAAGATCCACTGGTCCCTGGCCCCAGAGTGCTAATATTTAGTGTGCCACTAAGCCCAGATGTAAGATTTTCCCATAGATCAGGTATGGTGGCCTACAAATTTTTGAAATCTTATTTATTATTATTATTATTATTATTATTATTATTATTATTATTATTATTATTATTTGGAGTCTAAAAGTCTCACTGTTGGTCTGTCCTGGAACCCAATCATGTTTCATAGAAATAATAATACCTTATCACAGGGTTATTATGCAAAGATATGTAAAAATCCCTTACCACATTAAAGAGTAAATACCACTATTAAAAAGTAGACTTTCTAAGAAGGGTACCAAAAGCAGAAACCATAAGCCAAAGACTGATAAAACTGACCATCACAAAATCAAATAATTCAATACCCAAAGTCCTTTACACCTGAGACAAGCTAAATAATTCCCTTGACTTAGCAAAAAATAAAAAATAGAAAATCTGCAGTCAAAAACAGTTACTTGCTTATAAAAATTAAGAGTTAGAATTTTTGAACTAATTAAAGAGAAAAACGACAGGGGATTAATTTTACAGAAATTTGTTTTACTCGCTATTTTTTTCATTTTCCGTTCTTGTTTGCTCCCCTTGGTTTGACGTGACTCTGTGAGTAGGATTGATCCCAACAGAGCTGTGACAACAGAGAAGCACACAAACCAGCAACTTCCCCTGGAAAGGAGCATGGCTGAGGATAACCAGGGCACAGTAGTGACTGAAGAGCTGTAGAAAGTAGAAATATCCGTGCGATGGGGCTGGAGGGATGGCTCAGGGGTTAAGAGCACTTTCTGCTCTTCCAGAGGACCCTGGTTCAAGTCTCAGCACCCACATGGCAGATCGAAAAACAAAAACAACAGCAAAAAAGAGAATTTAAGTGAACACACATCTTAGGTCGCTTCAAAGGCAGCAGACACATTCATTAGAACGCTAGTGTGAGATATGGTGTATAAAAACCATGGCCGCTACAGAGGCACAAGCCTGTAATTCCAGCACTCACAAAGTGGTGACAAGAGATGAGTAGGTCCGAATCCAGCTTGGGGATTTCTGTATCTACATATAGATACCAGCCATATACTATAAGCTCCTAACCACCTTTTTGGAGGACAGGGTTTCTCTGTGTAACAGCCCTAGCTGTCCTAGAACTAACTCTGTAGCTGGCCTCGAACTCACAGAGATCCACCTGCCTTTGCCTCTGAGCGCTGGGATTAAAGGAGTGCACCACCACCGCCCAGCTCTCTTAACTCTTAATGGCATAGAATATCATTATGGTTGCTTAGTGTATTTTTCTTTCTTTCTGGAAATCAGAGCTTCCCATATTAAGCACTCTCCCCAACTTAGTGTATTCTCTGAAACATGGCAAATACAGAACACCTAATGTGCCACAAAGACTCTTAACTCAAGTACCCCGCTTGATTCTTAAATGACATTCTAAGTGGAATTCCTAGGACAGGTATTTGTACGGACTAACTTAATTTAAAGCTCTTATCTTTTTCGCCATTCTATGATTCCACATCACGAACAAAGAACTTGAATCTGAGATCCTTGATGACATGTCATTCCACCAATGTTTCAGGACCCGGGAACTGTGGTTTTTAAACCCTAATCCTACACCGAGTCTGAAGTTTTCTTTAAAATTCCAATGAGGGCTTAGCACGACACCCCGAGACAACTATCACACACCAAATTGGAACTGTAGATCATCAACATCACTCCTTTCTCCATCCCAGAAGCAAGCAGGACTCCCACCACCCCCACGCCACTATTCTCCAACGCAGGCAGAAAGAAACTTGACAGATCTTCCCTCTCACCTCAATCTCGTAGTCCTTTACTGGAGGAGGAGCTGCAGCCGCCGCCATAGCCAGGACCCCCACCATGATCCCTGCCTCCCAGAGCCCCGGATCCTAGGACCTCCAGCGGTCCGGCGCTGCCTGACTGGAGGCCATAGAGACGGCCGGTCCAGTGGGAGCAAGATGCGGAGGCCGCGGGGGCCGCCACGGGTCCCCCAGAGCCCACCGGCCGGACGCGAGTGAGAGGCTGGGCCCAGGGCCGTCGAGCCAGGCTCAGAGACGGCGAGAAAGCGCGGGTGCAGGCCCCGCGGGGGCGGCTGCACAGTACACAGTGCCCCCGAGGTAGGCGCTCCAGGCTCAGCGTTCGAGCTCCGGGCCCCGGTGGGCGCCACACACCGAAAGCTACTCAGGCCTCGGGGCTTCGGCGGGAGTTCTTGTCAATTGGGTTTTCGCGCCGTCCGGAGAGCAGAGGGCGGAGCCACTGACTGCTTCTGGAGGCGGTGTCTACGGTGAGCCACAAAGACCAAACTACTTCGTTTAGCGATTCAGCAGCTGACAGAGCCTCATTTCTCCCGGAGTCGTAGTGGAATTTTGGAGATTCACAATTGGGTGGCCAAGATTGACCATTGAGGACGTGATTTGTCTAAAGTTACCTAGTCATTTGGTGGTTGAATTAAGACTTAGACTTTAGCCATTCCAAAAATTATATTTTTGAAGCCCGGAAGTTGTGGTGCACACCACAGTACAGCATGTTCTACATAGAGAGCTCCTGTTCAGCCAAGAGATTCTGTCAAATAAATAAGTAAATAGATAGATAAAGAAAGAAATGAATGGATGGGTAGATAGGTAGGTAGATAGAAAGAAAGGAAGGAAGAAGAAAGGAAGGAAGGAAGGAAGAAGGAAGGAAGGAAGGAAGGAAAGAAGGAAGGGGTAGAAAAGCTGGGTGGTGGTAGTGAATGCACGACTTTAATCTCGGAAGGAAGAGGCAGGCAGATCTCTGAATTCAAGGACAGCCTGGTCTACAGAGTGAGTTCCAGGACAACCAGGGACACACAGAGAAACCCTGTCTCAAAAAAAAAAATTATTTTATTTTATGTGTATACAAACATGTGTGTACCTGGTACCTATGGAGGCCAGAAGAGGACATGGAATCCCCTGGAACTGGGGATACAGTTTTAAGCCACCATGTTGGTGCTCAAAACCAAACCCAGGTCCTCTGCAAGAGCAACAAGAACTCTCTACAACTGAGTCACCACTCTAGTTCCTGAGCTACATACCCAGCCCATGATTTAACCATTGTAAAAAGTACTCGTAAAAGCCTGCGGCCGTGGTTAAAGGTTTAACTGCTCCATAAGATCACCCGTGACAGCACTTCTCCTTTTGCGCTTTCATCAGAGAGGTTAGCAAACACACTGTGGCATAACCATGGCTTAACCATACAGTGGAACCCTCTGCATAAAAGGAAACGAGGGGGGGGTTAGCTTATTGGAAAAGTACCTACCATTCACAAGGTGGTGGGATCAAACCTGAACACTGCCAAAAAGTAAGACTAGATCAATAAAAACCCAAGCATGGGGGGGGAGGGGGTGCTAAAGAGATGGCTGAGCAGCTAAGGGCACCAGAAGACCCAAGTTCAATTACTAGCACCCTTGGAATTGAAGTTAGAGATAACTATGAACCTATGAACTGGGACTTGAACCAGGGTCCTCTGCAAGAGTGGCCAGTGCTCTTAGCCATTGAGCCATTTCTCCAGCCCCCTAAAAATAATAACATTGAAACAAAACTAAACCCCCAAGAGGTAAGTACGATAGCACACACCTGCAATCTCATCACTTGGGAAGCTGAGGTAAGATGAGCTAGCCTGGGCTAAATCATGACTTTCAGATCTGCCAGGGGTGCATAGCAAAATTCTGTCTAATTAATAATAAAGACGACTGGTAATACATGAACAACATAGATAAATCTCAGAACCTTTCTGATGGAGCCGAGAACGGTGGTGCGTAGCTCTAGTTCCAGCTAGTTTAGAGACGGAAGCAGAAGTGCTTGAGTTCACAAATTCAAGGTGAGCCTGAGTAACATAGTGAGATGTATTCACCCTGTCTCGAACCATTTAATTTAATTTTATGTGTGTGGGTGTGTTGCCTGCATCAGTGTCTGTGAACCACGTGTACGTTTGATGCCTGTGAAGGTCAGAAGAAGGTGTGAGTTAGGTCCCCTGAGACTGGAGTTGCAGAAAGTTGTGACCCACCATATGGATGCTAGGAATCAACCCAGGTCCTCTGGAAGAGCAGCCAGTGCTCTTAACCCTTGAGCCATCTCTCCAGCTCCTACTTGCATGTTTTAAAAGAAAGCTGAACTAGTCATGACGGCACTGCCCATAGTACCAGCTTTTGAAGGTAGAAGCAGGAGTTCTAGGACATCCTCAAGTACACATTGAGTACAATACCAGCCTGGGCTGAACTACAAATGAAATTAAAAGCTGAACAACAACAGTAATAGTAATAAGTGACTATTTAAAAGCTGAGGCTGGGGGTTGAACAGTGGTGGCACGCATCTTTAACTCCAGCACTCAGCAGGCAGTGGCAGGCTGATCTCTGTGAATTCGAGGCCAGCCTGGTCTAGGAGTTCCAGGCCAGCTAGATGTTTGTGAGTTTCAAGCTAGCCTGTCTACAGAGTGAGTTCAAGGACAGTCAGAGCAACACAAAGAAACCCTGTTG